CTTGTCTTAATGCTAATTACAATTTTACCTAATCTTATCCCTAATGTAAACACATCAGTATCCTGTCATTATATTAACCAAGCTCAAAAATTGCACATAGCATGTTAGTAATTTAGAAAGTCTCCATAAGTGTGTTCAAATATCTTTAGGTTCTAATTTAAGCAATATGTCAACCAAAAGAGCAATTATTCCGCATCATCTGCCACCTATCAACTTACTGATTTAGCAGATTTGACCTCATTTAGACCTAATTTTTTAGTGTAACTAAAGGAGACAATTGCAGCCAAGTTGAAAAAATTCCACATTGAGAACAAGCACTGATGCCTCAGCAGCAATCGGGTAATTAGTTAAAAGTTCATGAAAATTATGGCAGATATGTGAAAGCACTGGGCACTGTGATTTCATGTGGAACCTAGCACATGTCATCACTTAGTTGTGAAATTAATAATAATACGAGGCTCCCTTGCTCAGAAGTTAAACTGCTCTCAGTCACAAGTTAAATCACATTCATTCTTGGGAACCTCTTTTCCATCCTCTCTGCACACATGTGGCGTGAGGATATGCTGCTTGTCTCAGAATGCCGAAATCTCTATCTTGCATTTTCTATTGTCCAATTCTAGGAACTACTATCTGATGGTAAACATTTTGGCAGGAAAAAAAATTCCAATTTGATGTGCTAATAACTACCAAAACATTAATCATTATGAACAGAGAAGTCAACGTAATTCATAGGCTAATTAGCATCACACATTAGCTGAGCAGAAGCAAAACACTGCAGTTTGGAGCACTGGGAAAAGATGATGATAGAGATGATTACAGAATTAAGCAGGTGATTATTTCTCACGGAGTAACTTTGAACAGCCTGTAGGATATGCTCCGAGACTAGCTTTTACCTCTGCCTATGGAAGCCTTGAGCATTTTCTCACCTGTTACTGTTTACAGACAGGTATCCTGATTTCTGCTACCAAAAGGATTCCAAGGAGCAATGAAGACTGGGTAGGGGTTACCTTTAATTTTCATAACCAATGCTATGAGAAGGAAACACTATGAGAAGTGTTTCCATGAGAGTCTCACAACAAAAACAGGTGCCAGCTCAAGTTTCCCCTAAAGGGAATATGAAAATGCTGGCTGAAATTCCTTCTTGAAGCTGAACTGCGTCTCTTAAAACTCCCCAGAGAGTGAAGCTCAGCATCAACCACACCGTTCCTTACCACAATGCCATACTCCTCACTCTGATATAGGTCACTTCCTCATCTAAACATGATCTAGAGGGTGCCTCCAGCTAGGAGTTACACGGTAACTGGACATCCACTTATTCGGCCAGCATGTTTTTACTGAATGGTTGCTATGTGCCAAGGATGAATCTGAGGGGGAAGGAGCTGAGCCATAATAGTGTATCTGTAATACTGAGCTTGTCGACTGGGTACTCTTCCCCACCTCACTCCCCACCATTTCATTTTTCTGACCATCAGGTTCTTCCTTAACAGTGAGACACATAGCATTTAAAACAGGGAAGGGCTTCTCAGCTCCCCTTCTCCCCGTATACAAAATCTGACATACCTTTTCTAGGAAGAACTTCATTTCTTCAAAGAGTTCCCAAAGAGGCATTAAGTGCTCAACACAGTGGAGTGTTGAAAAGACGCTGAATACAACCGTGTAGCAATGTCTTTTATTTTTAAAGGAGATGCCAGTTCTTTTATCCTAAACCCTTCCAGTATTTGTATTTAGTAAGTATAACTTTCAAAAAATCCTTCTTTGATTCCTGACTTCAAGACCTTCTATTCTCTTTTAAGTGCATTTAGGTTCATCTTGTCCCTACAAAAGATAGTTTAAATTATCACATTCCGCACTACAAAGTAATCATTGTCTGGAGTAGGTTACCATATAGCCTACCAAGATTGGTGATTGATTTACCCAAGCTGGTTTACAGAAAGGGGGTTCTAGATGAATCAGAATAAATCATTGTCAAGGAATCAGTTTGACTAGACTGACATTGCCAGTAATATTTTATGATAAATGAGGCTGATGGAAACATTTTCTTCCTGGGTATTAAGGCTTCTACTGATATATTTCACTACCCCAACCCCTTAGCTTCAGATGGAAGGTAAAATCAGCAACCTGAACCCAAGGTTAAAAGCTTCATGGCATTATCATCTGCAATAATAAGGCAGCCCTCCAAACTGCTCAAGGCAAAGCACAATTTAATTTTTAAACACCTGATTACTTCTAAGATTTGAAGTGCCCAAACAGCCCTGTTGGTGTTAAAAGAACACAGCCTACCCCAAGACTCAGTTCATCTCCATTCCAGTTGGCTGCCCGCCTCTCCATTCGCCTTCTCCTCTGCTGGACTCTGGCTGGCTTTCTTAGTTTGAAATCTTGTGCAGTGTTTCTGGTAAACTGCACTACTTATCAACCAGCCTCCTTATCCTTGGGGGCATATTGAATATCAGATGAAAACACTGCAGAATTGGACAAGCGATTATTTAGTTTTACAATAATTTCTAATGATTAGAGCAAGCCGATTTTCACTTGCAGCAGCCGGAGATGAGGGGGAAAAACTGAGATGAGCTCAACCCAGTCCCTACTTGATTTTCAGCAGTCTGAGAACAAAATGTGATCTGCAAGTTACATGGTCCAAAGAATAGAAAGAGGCATGGGCCAGTGCGGCACTTATGCGGAGCTTAGTTGTCTTTTTTATAAAATCATGCTGTTCAAGATCTTCTCTCCAGTTCTTGTTTTTCCAAGGTGGTTCTTGCCCACTGTAGCTATCACTGACCGCAAGAATTCCATGGACACAGTGGGTTGAAGGAGAGTCAGATGATAATCAAATGAAGCCAGGATTGAGAGCCTTACATAATAGCCAGTCATCCAGAAGGCACAGCTTGGCTGCAGTGGCCTCTTAGTTGGGACTGTACATATGTGAGATTAACTGACCCCCTCCATTTCAAGTTGAACAATGCCCTGGAAGCTTGGTGTCCTGTCACTGCCTGAAGAGGCCATGTCTGGGCCATATTGTTGTGGTATTTGTAAACCAGCTGCCCTGTCATCAAGAAAGTCAATTGGTCTCCACACCATACACTAAGTCTTCTGTTCTTTCATTCTCCATTGCTTTTTCCTTAATGCAATCACATGTGTCACCCTAAGAGTATAGCATCCCTCACCTCACTATTTTGGAGGAGAGATGTATTGATTTTTTAAAAATTCATTCAGTTACAAATGCATTCAATAGACAGGTATGGAGGTACTGAACTTGGCTTTAGTGAAACAGCAACAAATAAGACAAAGAGCTTATATTCTGACTGGGGAGACAAGCAAACAAATAAGATAATTACAGATCGTGATGATGCCAGGAAGGAAATAGAGTGCTATGAGGAGAATGGGTGGTGCCTACTTTAGATTAGGTAGTTTTCAATCTCAATTTGAGAAAAAAGACAAAAGAAACATGAAATTTATACCACTTTAGGAGACCTCACTGTGCAGAGTCTGAGTCATTTACTTTTCATTTGGTTAACCCCTCCCTGCCCAGGAGAAAGAGTCTTCATTGGTGGCTGGAAAAACTCTCTCAGCTGCTCCAACAGACTCCCATCTCTGGCTCTGGGGCTGCCCCTTCTTATTCTAAGCTCCGCCCTCTACCAAGGACTGGAGCAGGGCAGAGCTGCGGGCCAGGTGCGGCTGGGGGCAGGAAGCTCATGAGAGCGTGGCTCCTGCCTTTGCCCTCTGAGCAGCACAGGCTGTCTCTCCTCAGGTCACCGCAGATGAGGCCCCTGTCCCTTTCCTCGACTGATGCAGAGGAAGAGAGAGGCAGCTAATTAACCAAATTCCTCTGTGAGGAATTCTTTGCAGAAGATCCTTCTGACTGGAAGTCTTCATGTCACACTGTTATAATTAGCCCTCATCCTTGCGAACTTTCTATCATGAAGAGCAAACACAGTAAATAGAATGATGGACGCATGATCTGTAACTAAGCAGGCCTCCTAAGAGTCTCTGTTGTATTCATTTTGCATCAACAGGTTACTTCTCACTAACTCCTAAGTTGACTAGGCTATGTGGTGAGTTATTCTAAATATGCGTGAATTGAGATAATTTATAACAAGGATATATATGTGCTTAGTTTTTTTGTTAGATCATTTTGTTCTCTAAACAACCTAGGGGGAAAAAAGCCAACTTCAAATATTCTTGGAAGCTTTTATCTATTTGGAGGTGACTTTATGTTACAGAATCACTTTGTGATTTGAATTTCAAAAATATTTTACTCTCAGTTGCCTAATGTGTTTTCAAAATGGAAAGATTAATGTATCCATCAAACCCCTTTTATGAAAGGTATACTCCATAATCTTGTCTGAGTAACCTGTGACTCCAAAATAGGGTTATCAGAGAAACTACAGGCCGCTCAGTTAAATTTTAATTTCAGATAAACAATAACTTTTTACTATAAGAATGTTTCAAAAATTACATGGGGAATTTACTTATGCTAAAAAAGTACTCATTTTTTTATCTGATCATACTGTATTTTCGTTTCCTGAATCTGGCAATTCCTACCAAAAGAAAAGATCTGAATCTCTGACTGTCCCCATACCACACATCACCTTTCCCACTTTCATTTCCCTCTTGTTTTAAGCCCCATCTTCAAAAGTAAATGGGAATATTAATCAATATTGGGAAACAAATTTATATCAATGGGTATTGAAAAGGATTGATAAACACAATTGCCACTGCCAGATAAATAGGGAATCCAGCAATTTAAAAAAAAATCTAGATATGCAGACTAGATCATAAACATGTTCCCTTTCAAAGACTTCTGCCAAAATTAATATGTGTAAAACTTGCACAATTGATACCTAGAATGTTTTGAATGCTTGAGACAGAAGAAAGTAAGGTACTTTCCAAATTCTTAAAAACCAGTTAAAAACCAGAGAAGACCATGCTCACATTTTATTTTGGTATTTATATTAATTCGCTTAGCCTCTCCTAATCCATTCTCTCTCTCTCTGTCTCTGTAGTTACCTGAACAAGAATAAATACCTGACAGTTATTGACAAAGATGCATTTGGAGGAGTATACAGTGGACCAACCTTGCTGTGAGTAAGACAAGCAAAAGAATATTTGTTGTTGTTGTTTTCTGGAAGGAAGTGGGGCATTAAGAGGAGCAGCTGTTGTTCGTAGGTAGGGAATGCTGTTGTCTTGAACAAAAGCTTCTGCTAGTACTTTTCTGCCCAGCTATACAGGCTACTGCTTGGAAGAAAGTTCTTGCTTTTTGAGCCTCAGAAGGCCCCACCCACAGGGAACCAGCCCATCCTGATGCCTGATCAGGCAGTCACCTGGCTGTGGACATTCACACAGGCCCTCTCATAGAAAACAAAAACAAAAAAACAGATTATTTCTGAGCAGCTGCTGTTTGCAAAATTCAGAGACATGAGTCTACAAGGAGGTGGGAAGCATCTAGTCTTTGCAGAGAAAATGTATGTGAATGTGCACTGCACAATGTCCAGCATGGAGAAGGAAGAATATAAATAGTTTGATTCATATCTTGAAAATCTTATGATCACTGGAAAACATAGGATGTAAACATTTTTAAAAACAGCATGAAAAAAAATACCTATGTGTGCATTTCCTCTGATTTAGACTTCACATGTCCTTGGTGATCAAGGTCTGTCTGTGCTGTCTCCCTCAAGCCTCTTTATCAGCACCCTTTTCTCCATCCCCTTGGTTTTGCCTTGGTTTAGAACCACATAAAAATAGTCAAGTCTTTGCCAAAGTGGAACACAACACCCCAGAAGAAACATAAGACAACCTATGAAAGGCAAAAAGACCTACTGAGGTCTTATTTATATTTATGTTTCCAAAAATAAGAACACATTAAGTTTTATACACAGAAGACTGCTGTCCCTGGGGGTGGCATAATCCAGCAGAGGATGGATTATGCCCTCACTTTTTCACCTTTAACAACTTTACTTCACTTTCAGATTTAATGAATTCAGTTAAGAGGTTTATGACCTTATATTCTTAACACACAGGCTCTCTGTAAGAGGGCAGAGTGACCCTGAAACCCACTATACCACGTGGCTGTTCATTGCTAACTCATGGAAAAATACTTAAAAAGTACTTTTTACAAAAAGACAAGTGGGAAAAAAAATGTGTTGACCTTTCCTGTGATTTTGTTTTTAACCTGGAAGATATTGTTTAATGACATTAATTGCTCTTTCAAGATAAAGGTGCTATTTCACCAATGAATGAGGAAAGTTGTTGCTTTTCTCAAGATATTTGTGCCTTGGAAAGAGCCTTTAGAAACACTTATTTGGAAATATTTCCATGTTACGTCATTTTCCTGATGAGAATGGTAAATGTGATTTCTGTCTTGTTAAACTCAGAATTTGAATTTTAACCTATTTTAAAATCTTTCAAATTAGGAGTTGCAATGGGTTTAAAATCCATGTATATAAAATATGAAAATGAAAACTTCTTCAGATTGGTTTACAAAAACAACTGATTAACATCTGAGAATGTGAACCTCAGTAAGAACATGTATTTAATTACTGAATTGAATTGAAAGATGAGAATCCTAATATGTACAGCCAAACCTGCCCTATTCCATTTGGAACCATCTACCTTTGTAGGGTAACTTTTTCAACTGATAGCCATTTACACCAAAACCAAAATAACCTACACCAGAAGTGGACTTCTGAGGTAAACAATTTTCAAAATTAGTGAATTATAATTAATAACACTGCTTTCACTTAAGTGAAGTATTTTTTAAATATAATTTATTTTCACCTTATCTTCTTAAAATGTATGTTTACTGTGTTTATAATGTATACAACAGGGTATTACAGTAATAAATGTGTAGAACCCATAAATACACATATGTTAAAGGCATGTACTCTAACATTTTTTACTTATAAATATGTGACATTGGAAGAATTTGAAGACTGATGGGTGCAAAGCATGGGTCTACTACAAGGTGTATGGCTGGCACCAGAATGTACATCAAAGTTCAGCTTCCTTTGTGGAGAAAGTCCTTCCCTGAGAGCAAAGTTGCCCAAACTAAACAGTGTGCCTAGTGAAGCAGTTGGCTTACACTCCAGTATAAGCGTCCTACCTTATCAAGGACTCGTGAACAGTTACCCAGTGGGCACCACACTTTGAATGGCACTAGTCCTGATGACGAGGGTCTCCAAATCTCCCCTTGCCTTCTATCTTGGCCCCTCTCAACTCCACCCTCCCCAAATCTCTGCATATTCAAATGCAAATAGGACCTTAAAACCCAATGTTGGTCTCCCACTCCCCGCAGGATAAAAACTTGGTGTGGCATGCAAGGCCCTGCTGTAATCTTTGGCTTTGTCTCTCACAACACCATACAATCCTGACCAATGATCCATCCATATGAAACTGCTGAGATCCTTTACTGCTCCAATACACTGGAGCTAAACTCTTGCTCTTCCCACTGCTGGGAAAACTGTACCACAACCTTATCTGTCTGATGAGCACCTACTACCATCTTGATATTCAAGTAAAGATCTCTTGTCTGAAGTCATTCGTGGCCTTCCTTCTCCTTAGGAAAACATGACCATTTATTCCCCTATATTCCACCGTCTCTAAGTCTCCATCTCATGCCACCAGTAAACATGTTTCCATCTCTCTCTCTCCAGGAGCTAAGTCTGTTGTATTTCTACAATTCGAATTCATATTACAATGCCTGAAACATAGTACTAGCTGGATAAATGTTTGCAAAACCAATACAGTATATTTCAATCACACTACTGTAAATACTGTAGCATATAAGTAGCAGTCATATTTTAAGGATATTTTAGTATGTTGTCCTTAGGAAGATAATCTATTTCTACTTCTTTGGAAGTGGTAAATTAAACTATCTATGTGATTGTCTTGCTTAAAAGTTGTTTTGCTAGTTTTGGTAAGATTTTTTTTTTTAACAAGACTCCCCAGCCAAATTAAGAGCAGGTGTGCAACTGTTTGGAAATGCCATCATGCTTTCCGGAGGCATAGTTGGTTGTGAAAAGTGAACCAGATTGGGACGAGACCTGGGATTGATCCTTGGCTCTATCACTAACTGTGGGACCTGAATCTCACTCAGTTTTCTTATTTTTCACAACTGGGTAATTAAAAGTAATGAAGCTTAGGTAAGAAAATAATTCTAAAGCACTTAATATTAAATATCATGATGGCCTTCACTTCTTCCTGACTCTTGACACTTCATTTATTTTTATCTTTCCTAATCTCTCTTACCACTCTCCCTCCTGACTTCTCTCACTAGAGCTCACTGCTCCAGTCTTTCAGTGGAGTTTAGTCCTGGGTTCTGGCTCTTTCTCCTCTGTATCTTCTCCTTTGGTTAAATCGTTCACTTCAAATACAGACAATTTCTAAATTTCAGGTTTCAGACCTTAGCTCTTATTTAGTCAACTCACTTACCTGGGATTCTCTCCCTACTCCATCTCATTCTTACCCATCCCCATCAGTTTGATTAAACTCTTCCTAACCAGCCTTTGAAACTGTACAGTAAATATTTATTGAGCATTTGCAAAGCCTGGGACTCTTCATTAGAAGTGTTCAATATAGGGAAGGTCACCATTTTGAAGGGCATCAAAAGCCTCACTGAGAAAGTGACAACTGGGGAAAGATCTGAAAGCCATAAAGAAGCAAGTCTGAGACTCTCTAAAGAGAAACATTCTAGATAAGTGCAAAGACCCCCAGGTGAGAACATACCCGGCATGTTTGAGGACTAGCACAGAGGCTGCTGTCACTTACTCTACAAGCATTTTACTAAGCATCTCCTGAACTTCATGTAATTATAAGGATAAGACACAGCCTGTGCTTTTAATGAGGTTATAATCAAATTCAGGAGAAATGTGAAAAAGTAACTATATTGTAAGTTTAATGCAAAAAAGAGCCATAGAGATATTTAGAGAATCAAGATACCATTTCTGGTTAAGATGACCAGCAGAGGCCTCATTAAAGGAGATGATATTCAAGATGGGCTTCAGATGTGGCGGCAGAATTGCAACAGAGATAGAGGTAAGAGAGAAAGAAAGGCAAGTCTACAGGAAAACACAGGATGTATTTAATGAACAACAACAAAAACATAATTTGAGTAAAAGAACAGTGTCTTTAAAGTGTGTTGTGTTGAATTTATATTGCGGGGAACATGACCTGACTCACTAGTAAGGCTGATCCACTGAAGGGTTACCCTGACAATATTAGTAATAGTTGCATCACCCATTACAGTTTGGGCCCTTTTCACCTCATTCCATGCCTTCTTTCCTTTGCTTCTGCCCACCCTCAGTCATGACTATATTTGTCCCGGATGCTCTGTCCCAGCCATGGCACCAGGACTGTTTGCCTGTACCTCCTGGCTATTTGGCAGGTACTGGACCTTCTGTCTCCACAGGGGATGGAAATCAAGCTGAAAGACCTAGTTATCCCGGAGGTCCTTGTCTTCCTTGCCTGCCTAGAGGAGCCTTTGGAGCAGCTCTCTTAGAGGAAAGGCACATCCTCGGGGTGGGACACCAGGGAAGGTCTGTCTGCACGACTGCACTGCTCATGGGAGTGTGCAATGAGATGCAATGACAGACCGACTCTTGGAGCCCCTGGCTTGGGTACCGAGCCAGACCAGCACTGAGGGAGCTGAGTTACTGGGGAGGCAGACAAAGCAGGCCATCTTTCCTAAGTCACACACCTATGTCCCCAGAGGCACAGCAAGGGCAGGGCCTGTGACCACTTTGCAGAGTCTAAAAGAGGTGTGAGGAAGGTCACAGCAGAATTAGAAGAGAAAATGTAGACAATTCCCTTCCCAGAGCTGTGTGCATGCTGGCCTCTTGCTGAGAACAAGAGGATGGTCTACTTCGGCCATGGGGATCTTTGGACCAGAGGAGTTGTGTCAGCAACACAGGATACTTGGTTCTCAAAGAAATCCAAATTTATTGATCAGTAGCATCTTTTACTACCACAGCCACTGATATGAGAAAAAAAAGAATTAACACTTTAAATCCCAGCTAACTATAAAGATAGAATTACTTTTTGTAACTACTGAGAAATCATTTGCAGAGCATTCCCAAACTAGAGGGTT